TGGTAGTTACCTCGATATGCGGTGCAACCTTGAAGGCTATCAGCTTCTACAATTCAACTTGATGCAGAGCTTCATGATCTTCTCATCGGTCCGCTCCTTTGACAGTCGACTGAGTCGAGATTCCAGCCCGGGTTGTTCACCCCCGAACGATAAACCAATGCATTTTGTCAGGTAAGTTCTCACTTACCTCATCTGCTGCCTCTATGTCATCACAACTGGTTTACTAGTATCGGTGACATTTCTCTGTGATCGTCCAAGTAGCCCTTGTGAAAATTTAATCCGGGTAGACTGTGAGGACCCCGGCCTCAAGCTTCTTGTTGATAATATAAGCCTTGGGACCTGGGCCCGTGTTGGTTAAAAAAAAAAAAAAAAAAAAAAAAAAAAAAAAAAAAAACTTGTGACAATTTAATAGGGGTAACTAGGGCGCAATCACGAACGATTTCAGTTTGAAATCCACTTCAGGCATCCCTCGATTTCAACACACCCCCACCGGACCCTGATGAAACCATGACAGCGCCCTAGTTTTCCCTTTTTAATATCCGTCCTTTGGTTTTCGTCCATTATTCAGTTTAAGTTAGTGCCTTAATCCTACATCCAGTGCCTGTCAATATCCAGCATCTTACCGCTCAGTTCTCTGCGTGTTCTCATCAGTCCATGGTACTTCAAGCGACCAACTTCATGTGTTATATGTACCGCAAATCATAATACAAGTTGCACGGTATCATCTCCTGATTAAGGGGCTCGCCGGACGGTACACGAAACGAAAAAAAAAACTAATTCGTTTCGCGAACGTTTCGCTGCACAGTGCAGAAACGAAAAGGGTCAGAAGGAAGTCGCGAAGTGTGTCAGATTTGCACTTCGCGAGGCTCCGCACGTGCCCCCTTCCGTGCCCGCCTGCAACGCGCGAAAAGTCGTAGGTCCTCCCGAGGCCGGTCGAGGAGCTGCGAGTCGGCTCGAGTCTGGGGAGTCCGTCCAAACGGAGTGTGTCCAAAATTTTGGACGTTAGCGTGTGCCAGAACTCGCGACCGGAAAGAGGAAGCACGCGAGCCCTCACGACCGTTTTGTCGACTGGTTGGGCCCAAACCAGCGGGCTGTCCCACACTGCGAGCCTCCTCGCATCTGCCCGCTCCGCGCTGTATTGCAAAGCGGCGGAGGTCGGCGGAGGGAGCAGCGGCCAGGCGCAAGGGCATCGCCACTCCACTCTCGAAATATGAAAATTGAGAATGCACGTTTGGGTGGAACACGGGCAGATGCATCCGACACTTTTTTTTTTTTGGGTTGTATTTTTTTTTCATTTCCCACGGGAGCAGCGGCCGGGCGGAAGGGCATCGCTACTCCACTGTCGAAATATGAAAATTGAGAATGCACATGTAGGTGGAACACGGGCAGATGCATCCGACACTTTTTTTCTTTTTGTTGTTTTTTTTTTTTCATTTCGCACGTGTAGTGGTGAGGGCCGATCAGCTGGAAGGCTGCTCCCTTGCTGTCGAGCTGCGCCGAGCGCAGTTTCGAATGCACTGTGCAGCCCCTGTCATGAACGGAAGCCATTGCCGGGACGGGGGGAAGACGCCATGGCCGCGTCGTCTTCTCTGCGGCCGGGTGCAAGTGCATCGCCGCAGCACTCTCGAAATGAACTTTTTTGTGGAAGACGGGTAGATGCACCCGTCACTTTTTTTTTGTTTTGTTTTTTTTCAGTTCGCACGTGTCACTTTTTTTTCTTTTTTTTTTTTCAGTTCACACGTGTTGCCGGCGGTATGGTTGATCCCTCGTTGCCGAGCTGCGCCGAGCGCGCTCGAACGTGCTCTGGTTTGCAGTGAGATTCCACACCCCGCTGCTCTGCACATCCGTTGCCATGCGCCCGAAGCCGGATACGCTCGCCGCCCCTTGGGAGCCGAGTCGAAGACCTCCCTTGCTTGCAGCACAAAAGCAAGATACACCTCCACGGATGGAAGTGCGCGATGTGCATTCACTGCCTTGGCGTGTGAAGTGCATTTACTGCACCCGAGGCAAGAGCACTTCAGGCGTTCTTGTGTTCTGAATCAGCAGTGCAGGTCGCGGAGCACTCTCGAATTCGTCATCTGCCGCGTTCCGGGATATGGACTTCATGGGAGTCGGGGACGTCAGCGAGCCTCGTCCGCGGTCCTTCGAGGATCGTCCTCGCACGATGCCGCAATCGTCTCGTGAGGAGTTCGACCTTAACAGGCAGCAGCACGGAGGGTGGCCACGTGGCTTCGATCACATGGAGAACGCAAGCCATCCCGCCAGCGCACATCGCCATCACATGGAGGCTATGCTCGGTGAAGCAGAAGGCACCCCATCGTCGCAGCCACGTTCTTGCCTTACCGGTGACACAGTGC